TTTTTTTTTTTTAATGTAATAAAGATCACAAAATGTTCCTGTTCGAAATATGTCAATACTCGCCTATCCCATTGAGAATAAAATTCTAGCTCTTCGCCATATTAGGTAAGACCCGGTGTGAGTCTCCCTGCTCCCTTTCCAGCTTCATTTCTTCCCTTAATTCTCCAGTGCTGCTATAATAGAAATGTCATAGTGGGTGATTTTAACAAACAAAAATTTATTTTCTCACAGTTTAGGAGGCTAGAAGGCCCAATGTAAGGTACTGGTTCCAGGCGAAGGCTTTCTTTGTGGGCTCGGGAGAAAGTGCTTGTCTCTGAATTTCTGCTCTTGGGTGACTTTCATGTGATTTGTCATCTCTATTCCCTCATATCTGCTTGCTGGTTTTCTTCTTTACTGCATTTTTATATTTCAAAAGACACACCTCCTACACTCAAGATACACCCTACACTAATCCTGCCTCATCAGCAAAGACAACCTATTCCCAAAAGGCATGTTGTTGTTAAGTGCTGTTGAGTCGGTTCTGACCCATAGCAACCCTGTATAGGGTTTCCAAGAAGCGGCTGGTGAGTTTGAACCACCGACCTTACAGTTCAAATCGACCTTGTGGTCGAATGCTTACTCCAACTATAGGAACAGAGGCTGAGATTTACAACACATATTTTTTGGAGGCCACAATTCAATCCATAATAGTGACTCTAATCATCTTGAACTTCCTGCTAGTCCTTGAACATTCTAAACCCTTTCCCACTTCACTGCTTTTGTTTATTGTATTCTCCTCAACTGGAGCTCGTTACTTCAAGACCTTCCTATGGCTTTCTCATCCATGCTATTCACTTTTCTGCTCAGATGTCATGTTAGGAAAAAGGCCATCCCAAATAGGGATTCAATCCCAATCTATTATACTTTACTAAGTATAATTTATTAGATTTTATGATTCTTCACAGACCTAAATGAACCCTGATGATACAACTGGTAAAATGCTCAATGCTAACCAAAAGGTTCATAATTCAAACCCATGCAGTGGCTCCATGGAGAAACAACACAGTTATGTAAACTTCTGAAGGCTGTAATCTTTGACCTTCATCAGTATTTCAATTCCTTCTTGCTTTCCACAAGCAAGGTTTTATTATCTGCAGATTGAAGGCTGTTAATGAGTCTTCCTCCTATCCTGATACCACATTTTTCTTCATAGAATCCTATTTCTTGGATTGTTTGCTCAGTATACAGATTGAATAAGTATAGTGGGGGACACAAAAAACAAAAACCCTGGTGCAAGCCTTTCCTAATTTAAAGCCATTTAGTATCCCCTTGTCCTGTCTGAATGACTGCCTCTTAGTTATGTACAGATTCCTTATGAAGCAATGAAGTTCTCTGGAATTCCCATTCTTCAAATTTTTTTCTATAGTTTGTTATGATCCACACAGTAGAATGTCCTTTGCATAGTTGGTAAAGCACAAGTAAACATTTTTCTGGTATTCTTTGCTTTCAGTCAAGATCTATCTGTCGTCAGCAATGATATCCTGGGATCCACGCCCTCTTCCACATCTGGTTGACAGCCTTTGTTGTTGTTTTTAAGCGCTGTCGTCTTGGTTCCAACTCATAGCAATCCTGTGTAGGGTTTCTGAGGAGCAGTTTGTGGGTTTGAACTGCTGATCATGTGGTCCCCAGTCCAATGCTGATCATACAGTGCCACATGAGGAGCCTTTAGCACTACCCAAACTTAAATGGTTGTTCATTTATTATCCATCTATCTCATTACAATGCATGTTACAATGTGGTAAGGATTTTGCGTGCTTGGCTCCCTACTCAATCCCCAGTACACAGCACACTATGAATACAGAGTTGTTGACTGAATGAGTGACTAGAAACTCAACTAATAAGACTAAGTTTCCATAAAGTGTCTCTGCAAGTTTTTTTTCTTATTTATTTATTTATTTGTGTGTGTGTGTGTAAAGGTTTTTATTGGTGGGGGCACAGTGGACAGGGACCTGCTCAGTCCTTCTTGGTAGCCACTATCCTCCTGGCAGCCGGGACATTGCTGAGCTCCTCTTGCATCCTCTTGGCACGGATGTGTTTCCCCACCCTTCTCTTGAACTTGAGCACCTGCTTGTCCTTGGAGACCTTGAGCAGCTCCATGGCCCAGAGCTCATGAGGTGCAAAGCCACACACCTCCCAGATCATGTCCCGCACGAACGTGGTGTGCTTGGTGAGGTGCCCATGGCGGCAGCTGTGCCTCTCCTGGCTCACGTGCTTGGTTACTTTGTGGCCCTTGTTGAGGCCAACGGCCATAGGGTAGTACGCAGCCACGCTGCTTTTCTTCAATGGCTACTGCGGCAGAAGGTTCTTTTGCTTTTTTAGTGTTAAGCATTTTTGGTGGTAGTAGAAAGCCATCCCAAATTTTCCTCCTTTTTTATCTTGTTCTTAAAGAAGAAATACTAGGTTCAAGAAGATATCAGGGTGGAACCAATAGCAAAGGATTTATATGGCCTATCCACAGCCTCCATGCTCTCAGTTTGGCCCTGGCATGCCCATTAGTTATAACCGGATATATAACATTTATGACTATCATAGCAACCAAGCAATGCCTGGATGAAGAGAAAGACAGCCTCTTCTTACATGGAATAAACAAGACCAACCTAAAGGCTGGAAAATTAGTATGGTGGACTTGCATCCGCAATGTTTTTACTTAAAGAATCAGGCTGGACCAGAAACAATGGGAGGACCTTCGTCAGCAGGTAGGACCAATCTACTGGATATTTCAAGTGAACAAAGAACCACGAGTGGGAAATGGTAGCATTAGAAATGACAGAGGGCAAACTAGGGTCATATCAGCTGATGAAGAGAGACTGCTACTCAGGGGAAGACATGGGATCTGAAATGTCAAACCGAATCTTCTACAAAAGAAAAAGAAGTATTCCTCCAGTTTTACAATGGGACCTAACTGCTTTGAGGACTAGGGTTGAGGAAATGTTTTTGACGGTGTTCCAAAGTCATCTGTGACAGAGGAAAGGCATGACATTAGGGAGCTTTTGGAATTACACCCCGAGAGAGAGGCTTGATCCAGGGAATTATTGAAAGTCGCCCTCTGATGGTGACAGATAGAAAATCCATCATAAAAATAATTGAGGAATTTCCGGCGCTTCCCTAACCGGGCAGCACAGAGTAGACACTGGACAGGGAGAGAAAGGAATAGTCAGAAACATCACACTAGAAGGCTTGTAAGTCCATCTTCTGCCTATGACTGATTGGAATACCTAAAATGGGGCTACAGC